GTCTTGAATGTCTTGTTGGGGGACATTGTGAAGAACAATGTGAAAAAACAAGACATTCAAGACAAATTTTCAGAAAAAAATGGTTGCAGTCAAACTCACGTTCACAGGCGTAATTGGGGGTCCATACACCTGTATTCTGACATATCGCCACATACTGTGTTGACAGGGCCTGGGTGCCTTGCTACTTTGCAGAAGGAGAACTTAATTAGCTTAAAGGTGGTTTAAATACATCAAATGTAAATCTATTAAAACTTCTGGTTCTCTGTATACTCACAGTGTTTACAACGTAGCCAGCATCACAAGTTACTGTCGCTGTTTCACCCTCATGATATTCTGGTTGCTGGGGAGTCACAGTGGAGTGCGAGGTCACCACTGCTGGACAGACCTTGTCTGAAATTTACATGTGAAAAGAACAATTGTGATCATTTTCCAACAAATACTGCTTTCCCATCGTGTCACAAGTGAGGAGGCTGCAATACCTCTGGTCGTGAAGTGGAGACTGAAGCCTTTGTTAGTGCCAAAGCCATCAGAGGTGAAGCGGATTTGGATGTGATGCGAGTGAGTGAGAAAGGGAGATGGGGGAGGCGTGTGGCCACAGAATGGCCCCAGAATCCCAGAGGGAGTCTCAATCTGCAAACAAAACATCAAAGGTAATGTCTCACATTGTACATGTCTCGACTTCCTCTCTGCTCAGTTCCCTCTGGTGAAACACACGTGTGCATGTGTGTCCCCCAGCCTGTACATTGCCTAGAACATGACTCACCGCAAATATAAAGTAAAACACGTTTGCACAAGTATCCCTATGGAAGAGAATTCCACTATTATTTTTTAAAAAGACACAAATTGAGCTTTCTGATCATCAGACTAAACACCATGAACATGTGTAACACAGAGAGCCTATAAAATGGTTAAAATAAGATGTGTACTTTTCGTTAGATCCATGATTACAACGCTTTTGTCTGAACCTCCACTTTGGTTCCACTTAGAAGTTTTAGAAAAATGTGGTACTTAAGTATTTGAACACCTACACTCAGTGCATCTATGCATTGACCATCAGGGCTTTGCTCCACATCGAAATCCTCAGAGAAGTGCAACTCCAGTTGCAGGGTGGCCTCCACAGACAGAGTGTGCTGACAGTTGGCATTCTCTGCATATGAAGCGGGCCAGGAGGGACTGGATATGTCCCCATTGTACTGCCCTGACAGATCCTTAGTACAACTCACTGTGTTGAAGAAAAAATGTCATTGTCATCACAGTCAACGAAATCATTGATTACACAATCAGCCTGTGATTCTCCTCGTCTCCCTCCTTCCCCCCCCCCCGGCTTGGCCTGCTTCTGCTTTCTCTATTTCCCTATTTTCACTTCATGTTTCAGTTTAGTTTCACCTTCCTCGATTCGTCTTCCTCTGTCTGATTTGAACTCCTCATTCTGTAAGCATATGCACTGATCCTAGTCGTGACAGTATTTGTACCCGTGCAAGTGTGTTTGTCCACATCCAGGTAGTAACCATGGCGACAGGAGCAGTGGTACCCTCCGATGTAGTTGTGACAGAACTGTGTGCATCCGTTGTCAGGGTCGTCCTTACATTCATCAAAGTCTGAGGGAGCAAATTAATTAGAGGGTTAGTTTAAAGGAATCGTTGGACACCTGTTGTTTTGGTGGGGATGATTCAGGCATTTGGGATGAAACTCTTGCAGTCGAGCACTCTTAAAGTAACACTGTAGTTTGAAATTCAGGCAAGTGCGCTTATTCGCTTCATTCAAACTTGATATGAGAAGATCAACATCACTCTCGTGTTTATACTTTAAAGACGTAGCTGGAGCCACAAGCCGCTTAGCTTAGCTTAGCTTAGCTTAGCATAGCTTAGCTTAGCATAAGCTCTGAAAACGGAGAGGAAACCACTAGCCTGGCTCTGTACAAAGGTGAGGCTGTTGGTCAGGACTTAGATCACACATCAGCAGCACCTTTGAACTGAAACTGTATCATAATGCTGAAGATAGTTCAGAAGCATATAGGCTTTACTCATTTATTTGAGATTGGAAAATAAAATGCAACTCACATAACCCTGGACTGGATTATTTTAGAAAGTTTCACTGATGACATTAAATATATCTTAAAATGTAACTGTTTCCAATTCAGCTCAACTATAAACTGCAGCCATTGTGAATTGTTGTCTAAATATATCACCTTCCTAACAGTTAAGAGTGTGATTACAAATTGAACTCTTGAACACGGAAAAATAAATGAGCACAAATACAACGGACTTTGGTGGGACTTTTAAAACTAAAAAAGTATTTCATTTATTTTCTCCTCTACATCTCACCTTGATCGCTGTAAAGCCCTCTGAAGCCGGTGTGCCTCTTGGTGTTTGAGTAGTCGGAGTGGAACGTGAGAGAGAGGCAGCCCCCCGGGGAGGAGAGGAGCGAGGGATTCACAGTGGACTGAAGCTCCTCAAATTCCCTTTTGCCACACAGAACTGAGATTAGGTTTCCATTTGAAAAGACCTGGAAAACAATGGTGTTGTAGAGGATACAATAACATTACTGTAGTCAGTTATTAACCATGACTTCTTACGGGAAAACCATTTGAAGTTTATCGTGACCCCTGACCTTTACTGCATCGTTTTCACAGTCTTGGCTGTCCTCCAGGTCCAGGTGGATGAGCTTGATGGAGAGGGTGTGACCCTTGTGGGCACACCTGCTCCAGTTCAGACTGGCATGGGGCAAATATCCAGTGGGATACCCTGGAGACTCCACCCATCCCAGCAGCATCGAGTAGGCCGGGCGGGAGAGTAGGAGAAGCAGAAGACTGGGGGAAGGTATGGAAGATATACAAAAATTCAAGGGAGGAGGTGATGCATTGTAAAGGAAAGGAGAGGGAAGTGGAGAAAAAGCAAGGACAACGAAGTTAAGAAAGAAAAAGGTATTACTTAATGTGAGAAAGTCCGGTTACACATAAAAATGACAGAGAGCCAGAGATGATGAATCGCAAAAATCCAAACCCACCTTAATCTTATCATCGTGATCCGATCAAATCCACTCACAAATAAACTACACCAACATCTCTCCTTCCCCTTTTCTCCATAATTTCCTTTCCATCTCTCGCTCTTTCTTGCTACACCCTCCCCCCCCTGTTCTCTCTCACTCATATTTTGCAAACGCAGGCATTTTATCAAATAAAATTTGTTTTTGTATGTTTGCAGTAACGAGGGAGTGACTGCTGGTAAGTGGGATGACAGGAAGACAGGCCGAGCCAAAACCTTTTCAGATCGACTGATAACTACAAAATGTCTTTTGCAGTTTTAGCTCAGCAACATGCTTGCGCCACTGGGTAAAAGGTTAAGTGGGAACAATGGCAATGGACTGAAAGGAAAGGGTGTAGTGGAGAGAGGAAATGTCTCATTGTGCTGCTTTGCTATGTGTAGTAAGAGTGCCAAAATCAGCCTTTGGTCCTGTAGCTATACGGAAACACACACACAGCTTACTTCGCAGTGAGAGGGCAGGAAGGAAATGAGGGGAGACAGACAAAGAGAAAGAGACAGAGAGAGAGAGAGAGAGAGAGAGAGAGAGAGAGAGAGAGAGAGAGACATGGAGGGGGATCAGCAGATTAGGGTGACTGGGGTTTTCCACTGTGTAGGATTAGAAAATATATGAGAAGTGGGTAAGGCAAGACTGAGAAGGGGAAACACATATGCAGTCACAGACAGTTCAGACAGCAGAAAAAAGAGTAGAGATAGTCAGAAAAGGAGAAAGGGTAAAGAGATTGTACCTTGAATGATGCTCCTTGAGCTAAGCTAATTACATAGCTGTCATTTCAAAATGTTATGAGCAGGTTTCAAGGAAGAGTGTGGAGAAAGATTGTCATTGTAGTCTTCTACTTAGATATTGTACATACAGGTGGAGGACTGTAAACGAATGGGCAACAAATGGCTGATATGAATTGCAGAAGTGAGGATAAGTACGCCCGAAAAGATGGGATATGCTGTGATCGCTGTGCTGCAGGTCAGTCACGGTTTTACTAACTTATCTTAACTATCTGTTCTTTTGGGATGACAAACTTCTTTATAGAACTGTGCACCACAAACACAGTATTTATTCAGCGTTTCAGCATTCCTCACACACTGTATTTGCATTACAGCCCAACATCAAATTTTTCTGTATACCTCTGTTTTCTCAACTCTCTCAGGACAGTACGTGCTCGCCGAGTGTGATAAAACAAAGACAACCAAGTGTGACGAATGTAGACGTGGTCGGTACACAGCAACAAGAAATCACTTGGATAAATGTCGACCCTGCATGGTCTGCTATTCCAGTAAGTCCCATACACACACACAGTATTGTACATTCTCGCACACACATACTTCTTCTGTACTGCAAACACAAACAGTTCCTTCCTCTTCTACCCCTTGCTGTCTTTGTGTATAGAGTATAGATTTTTTTCTTTGTGTGAACAGCATCACATCCACTTTTTTTTAACATCTTCCTCTTTTCCATTTTGTTTTCATTAAACCTCTAAACTACCGGTGGGGTCATTAGTTACACAACTTGCTGTGTAGCCAATCTTTTACATTTTGAAACATACCAAGAATGTCAGGCTTTGATTTAAATATTTCACTCGGTGTTTACGTCACATAGTTTCAGTGAAGAGCTGGAACAAGCTTAGAAATGAAAATATGATCCTGTCAGTGTGGAGTAGGTTTATTTTTTCAACCTTGAAAGTAATAACCCCCATACACTTCTAATTTAACCACGTTAGGGTGGCGTCTCATGTATTGTCTTTGCTCTAAAACCTGTGTGTCAAATGAGAAAGTAACTGGAAAGAAATGTAATTGTGATCTTGAAAAAGTTAAGAGTAAACCCAACTATTGAGAAGAACCTGAAATAATTATTCGAGGTCAGTTCTGTTAACTCATATTTCTAAGGCAGTGGGAAGGCTTACTGTTTCAAGTTGAACCGGTTTAAAATGTTGAACCAGCTTAAAATGTTTTACAGCGTGGAATGAAAAATGGAAATAGTTTGTTAAAAGTTAAACATTGTCATTTATTCTCAAGACAAGTCCAGTCAACTTTATTTAAGTTGCCTAAAATTCCAAGTCTGTACCAGAGGACCATCTTTTCCATGGATGGATAACTGAATGGGGCCGTTGGACCAAAGCCTCTGTTTGAAACAACTGTAAAGCGACTATAAAGAGATTAAAAAACAACAACTACAGAAACACCAAATAACTAGAAAGATGCAAAAAGCTTTTTTTTGTCTCATTGTTTTTGAGGCTCTTTTGTCTCTTCTAATGTCTTTATGTTTGACGTGTCTGTTGCCAGAGACCTGTTGTCTCATAGTCTGCCTATACTCTTTCCCAGTGATGGAAGGTAACTAATTTACTCAAGTACTGTACTTTAAGTACAAGTACCTCAAAATTGCCATTCCATTTTATGCTACCTTAAACTTCTACTCCACTACAATACTGTATTTTTTACTCCACTACATTAATTACACAACAGTAGTTGCCTTGCAATATTATTAATACAAAGTATAAATAACTAATCAATTACCAAATATTGCTGTGGATTAAGCTACCCAGCAGTACAAAAAGTAGCTGGTATTAGCCCCATGCTTTGGCAGCTGCAATGCTAGTGATGCTGACACATAATGCATACCTAATTATAATCCAGTGATAGAATATTATACTTGTACTTTTGGTAATTTATGTATATTTCAATGGTAATTCTTAACACACACGTAACACAGTATTATTACATTGTGATACTGCTACTTTTACTTAAAGTAAAAGTATGGAGTACATCTTCTATCACTGCTCTATCCTTAACAGGGACCAAATGTTTACACACAAAGAAACTAAAATGGCAGAGACCTCAGTAGCAGCAACAGAAGATCTTTCTTTGACTCTTTCAGAAAACAATCAGATTACAGTAAAGGAATGTACAGCTCAAGAGGATGCGGTGTGCGGGTGTGTGACGGGTTTCTACTGTAACAATGATCAATGTGAACACTGCCAGCAAGTGACCCAATGCCTTTTGGGTAAAGGGGTCAAGGTTCAAGGTAAGCTTCCATTGTAAAATGCAAAATAAATGATCATGCAGTAGCTACAGCAAGCATTCACACCTTACAAAACACAGTACAAAATGGCAACTAAAAAAATGTGTTCCTTTTTGCAGCCACTCGCACGAATGACACAATCTGTGCCCCGTGTCAAGACGGAACCTACAGCAACGTAACAGATTTTCACTCGGCCTGTCAAACACATACCAGGTCAGATTGCATCTCCGCTATTTCTTTTTTTTTTAAAGCTAAAGGATCTCGATGTATGTAATGCGATAGAATATGACGTGCATCATTTATTAGTCATCCATCGAGTCATGGCAGATATGAAACATTTTGTTTGGGTTGACATTAACAGTCTACAAACATCCACATCACATCTTCTATGACTTTATTTCCTCCACACTGTAGGAACTGTTTCTTGAGCTTCTCTGGAGCTTTTACATGTCCCATTCAGTAGGTTTGACAGGGACAAACATTCCCTGTGCCCCCCCCCCCTCCAAAAAAAACCCCCAGAAAACTACTTCTCCCAGGCCTCCATATCCTCTCCATGGACTTCCTCCATGTCCGATTTGTATGTGTTTTCCCTCCCAATACGTTTACTATTAAAAAGGTATGATTTTCATAATGACATTTTTTAGTAAAGTCCGAAGCTTAACTTCCTTTGGAAAATTTCCTTAAATTTACCAGAAGTGTACCAACCCTTTGCAACCCTAGTTATAGATACACTACACATTATGTGGATACTAATTTGTTTGGGTTTGTATGTTGTTTTCAGATGTGAGGACGTCGGAAGAGTGTTGAAAACTCCAGGAACCCCAACAACTGATGCCATCTGTGGCAACTCCAAATTCCGTAGGTCTCCATTTTAACATTAAGGCTGTTGTTACAAATGTGTATCATCTCTTTAGATCTTATATCTAGATCTTATAGATCTAATATTTCAGTGAAAAAAAACAACTTGTGCAAGTATGCTCTTATCCTGCATGACTGAATGAGTTTCTGTTGATCTTCAGTCCATATGTGATATGACCAAATAAGAGGAAGTAGAAGTTGCACAGATGGGAAAATCATTCCTAAGGAAGAGAGTTACATTACTACCACTATGACCACTTGTTGCAGTTAACACGTGTCTGACAGGAGATGGGGGCGATTCTGTTGTTGTGACTGGCTATAAACCTTATGAGGATAGACATTAAAGCAGAAGTTATCAATATTTTTACAACAAAAATGTATCAAATGACAATGTGGAAACAATAAATAACAATGTTAAAATGGATCTACTGCGGTTTATAGCAACTTGTGAGTATCAACGCTTAGTTCCCGGTCACAATTGTATTGTTTTGGTTCACTCTCATGGCTGTCATGGTGGCATTTCTGGCCAAACCAGGCAGCTTTGAAAACCCACCGAGAGTTAGTGACTAAACTGACAGACTTAGTCGAGCATTTAGTAGATATAGAGCCAGATATTTCCCAAAGGCTTCTCTAGAACAGAGACAAAACAAAACAAAATCAAAGCTAAAAAGAGAGTGAAAACTGGACCTACATTCACCAAGCGGCCAGAAACATGACTGCAAATGAATGATAATGTTGCTCCATAACTAATGTATGTTATAAGCACCTGTTTGCTAAAAACTTTGCCATATCATCAACATAAAATGTAATTTGTCACAACTCGTTCTGCCGCCCCTGGTGGCCCAGAAAATATGCTGTGAGTGACAAAACACAGAATATTAAGTGTGTGGGACTGTGCCATGGCATACCTTCACAACCAAAGTCCTAGGGTTTTAAATTTACCCAAGACGCCACACAGGTAGTCAGAGGATATAATGTAGGAGTGGAGGGATGTGAGGGAATTAGTGGAGGTTGAAGCCAAAACAGGATACAGTGCTGTGAAGAAACAGGACAAGTAAAGGGGGACTGTTTTAAGACTTTACAGAAATAGATCAAAAAGATAAACAAATATTGCCATTGGATTTAGTCATTTCTTAGACATCACATGTTGATTAAAGTTAGTCCCTAATCAATTTTTTTGAAATGTATTTAGAAAAACGTACTCTACATAATGTCTACATTGCAACGTTTTCATACTTGTAGTATCAGTGACTGACTGAAAAGGTTTACCCAGTTTAATCCAGTCATAAAATAAGTGAAACAAACCAAGTAAACATCAAATACCGATCTAACTTCTAACAGGTGGAAAATGTACCTGTGACACTGTTGTACTTGGAAACAAAACGTTTTCATAAGACAAAATGAAAAGATCTGTTCCAACCACAGGTGCTGAGACTATAAAGTAGTAGATAAAGCATAGTAATAGTTCATAACACACTATAATGTAGTTGTAAGCAGAAGTAAGCACTTAATGTAATTTTATCAGAACTATATCACTGGTGTATACAAAAACATAACATTGTATTATCAGATGTGTATGTTAATCACATGAATACACTTTTTAACCCACATGTGTATAAGTAGTTAATAAATGCTTTATAACATACTGAAAGTACGCGTTCACATGTGTAATCATACAGCTATCTTACAGAGTGTTATCAAGCATTTATCAATATTTTGTACATTAGTTATGGATGCTTCATAAGGCAAGTTATAGTTGCTGACAAATACATTAGTAAACACTTAGAAATGCATTAAACAAAATAATCTCACCTTACAACTACATTATGGTGTATTATAGTGTGTTATAAACGACTTAAGTGTTTAAATACTGCTTATAAATGTTGATAATAATTACTAATAAGTGTATGTCTTGGCATCATTCTTGTGTGATCATAATTGACCAACATCGGCGTGAAATAGAAATTAAATAGAAATGAAGTCCTTTTCATAGGCACAGTCATTTCATTCATTACAATATTATTAATGACGAATTAAAGGGAGTATTCAGTTCCCAGAAGATACGTTGCGGTGTGCAATCAGAAGACCTAATTAAAATATATTTAGGTCTCTCTAAAAATCCCCCTTTTCTGTTTATCAGAATGTCACTGGATATTACCCGCAGGCTTGTGGTCAGGACTCTTGTTGACCGCACTCATCCTGTTTGGTCTCCTCTGCTGGAGGGCAAAACGCAAGTCATACGAAGCAGGTGTGTACAACGTGTAACATGTGTAGGTGCGTTTAATCACTGTTTTTTTACACACTTTGGTTAAAGTCTTCCCGAAGAGTCAACAAATGCCCACACAGTGGTAGTAACGACACGCACATCTGTGAGACACTTTGTGTATAGTTGAAGGTCACTGCTTATGTCTGTCACAAATACCTGCTCAGTGTTTCTTTTAAAGCCAATCTATCGTTAAAATCTGAGTTCGGTCTAATTAAATTTACATACCAGATTTTTTTATAAATGAAATAAATTAGTGTGGTCTAGAATTAATTTATGCAAAAAGAAGTGTAACAAAAGAAGAAATGTAATGACCCAGAAAGGTTAAGAAGCTGTTTAGTGTGACGATAAGCTCGGCGAGCATGACAAACTGAATGAGGAAACCACATCCTGTACATATTCAGCTTGACACAATTATTTGGTGTAATGTGACGCACATTTCACAGGCAACAACTCATACAGAGAAAGAGTACCTACGCATGTGGTGCAGTCTCAGGGCTGATTGTTTTGACTGATGTTCAGTTTTATTTCATTGACATTTACTGTATTTCCAGTGAAGCAATGTGCCAATACTGGAAACCACATACAAAATTAAATTATACCGAGAAAGAGGTTGGGTTTCACAAGATAACATTTTGAAGTCTAATTTCGCCACTTGTTCACAACTACCTTTTTAAAGACAAGCTTCAAAATTCAAGAGAGGAGTACCTACTGACGTATTTTATATCCTAGAACAAAATGTTAAAATATCTTAAGTCTTTAATGTCTTAAAACATGCCTGGACGGGATCTCTAGGTGAGTTGTCACTCACTCTTCTGGTGGCTAGATTAACCCATTGGGGGTCACTACGTAGGTCAAAAATGAGCTGTGTGTCCCCGTTTGTCGTAATCTGGTTAGACCCAAATACATCTAGGAGCAGCATGTTAACTTTAACACATGGCCACTAGACAAGACCGATAATGATACTGGGCCATTACCACACCATGATGCTGCATTGACAAGTTTTATATCAAAGGTTGATGATTTTTTTTTCCATCTTCAAGTCTGACTTTTTTTTTTCCACAGAGAAAAAGAAAACTAGGATTTTTTTACCACACCCTTTCAAGTATACAGGAGGTGAGTGTTTCAGATACATGTGAAAAGTATCCATTCAATATTGAGTCACACAAGAGCTGTGGTGAATTTCAATTTCACAGATGTATTAATGTGATTGAAGACATATAAAGAACTTTTCCTAGAAACAAAGTTGTTCAGATACTTGCAGAGATCACACTTCACATCTCAATGACTATTGGTGCTACAGAAAGGAGTATCAGATTTTGAGAGATTACAGGGCCCCCTATGGGCCGATCATACACACCTTTCTCTTGAATAACCCGTACTAAGTTCCAAAATAGATAACCTATTAAACTTATCATCTTTAAATCACGACTACAGTAGATGTAAACTGTGGCATTAATACTGATTAAGCTTATTGTTGGCCCTTTTTGTGACAGCCGACTCCAGTGTTGCCGTTTCTCTGGCTGAAATGGTCCCAGCAGCACCGGTCACACAGCTGGAGCTGTCTTTACCGTTCACAGAGCTCAACGATCACTGCCAAGAGAGCTGCGACGTGGAGGACTGCAAACTACCACTTTTCAACCCAGGTGCTGAATCCTTGAACACTGCTGCATGCATGCCCACTCTCACACACACACACACACACACACACACACACGTGTTGGCCTTTCTTTATGTCTTTATAAGAGACAGTTGAGAGATGACTGGAAATGTGAGAGTTAGGGTATGACCATACAGTCAATGCGTATGACATGGAACAAAATTCCCCAGTCAGACTCGCACCATTGTGGTGGCTTTATGTTACCTCTAAACCACGGGTGCACCTTAAAACTACTTTAGAGAGACATAATCGGCATGATGAGCAATTTAATTTTACACAGACAATACCGTCATTCAACTGAGCACATACCTGTTATCCTCAAGGTGCTGCTTTACTGCTGTCAGTTTGGATAGCCATGTTTGCCCAGTTGTACCAGTCCACTCCGAATAAAACACACACAAGAAGTCTTCTCGGACAAACTAACTTTAGCAGTTTTGATCCTGGAGAACTGCTCCACTTTAACTCTAATTATTTTGACCAGAAGATTGGTTAATAACAAAGTCTCGGCAGCTGGTGGATAGCGAAGTGTTCTGTCGAAGGTAATCCATCATCTTCCACGGTGACCACAGTAACTATCTTCTTAGAAAAGAAAACTAACTTCTGCTTACCACGAGCCAGCAGCCAATCAAGCAGCAGGTAATTAACTTTGGGCATGCACATTGCTGTTTTCCCACCCTTGGGGCACTTGATGGCATATTGAGCGCGAGGCATTGCAGTACATCTTTAAGACTGACCTAATATTGTAGAGTAATGATGAATGAAAGCTTGTGATTTTTATGTCACGCATTAATCCAGACTACTTTAACTTCTAAGCTACCCAGTACCACTAGAACCACACTTTCTTTGTTGCCACTGTACACATAAAAATATGTAGGCAACGGTATTTAGGAAAACACTTCCAAAACCTGCACATCAGCCATGTGTGGTTTCAGAATGTTACTTTTGTCTTCCAGTTGTCGCTCTTTGTAGTCTTCTGCTGCCGTTGTTACAATATATTTCTGAGAAGAACTAATTAAGACAATGTACAGATTGGTGACAAACCTGAATACAAGTGGAGAAACATAAGAGGCTTCCATGAATATGAACATGATGTGAATCTTCCATGTGGCCGTCCCAGTCAATAAATCTCAACACCTTTAATAGACAGTGCTCTAACTCATCATGAAAACACCAACTGGGGGAATATCTTTTGGTCGATGTGGTGTTCAACCCACCGGTATATCGAAGACACTTTTTCTTTTAAATTGTTAACAATTTCTATATTAGCGTGAAAAAAAAGTATTCCCTTTTCCAGCCAAGTTTATAATGACTTTCTATGCTCATAAAAGCTTTCAGCCCCATTAAGATGGCCATTAATCACATAAAGAGCAAAGCATGTTCGATGTAACATTACTTTGAAAGATGGTAACACTGGACATTGATTTTTGAATTCATTATCCTCCTCAGATGATAACGCGGTCAGTTGCGACTCACAAGAACCAGTGGACAGCAGCCTTCCTATAACCCGACTGAAGGCTTCAGTTTCATTCACTAAATCCAACCACATCAATGGGAGCGCCGGATACTGCACTGGAAACTTCCTCAGGACCTACTCAGAGCCACAGGAGGACGAGTATTGTGGGACATAATGAAGTAAATATTGTTGCGACAGTATAATGATGGAGTTCAGAGTCCCTCTCCAGCTTAGGGATGCTGCAACTAGTTTTCAAACCTTGAACTGGACCTATTTATTTAAAAAAAAACAGAAGATGGTTTCTCTCTTTCTGAAGAGTTTAAGGTGGCTGACGGTTTGCTGCCTCCTGCAGGACTTTAACGAGAGGTTCAGCTTAAGTGATGCATTTACAATGAACAAAAACATTATTTTTAAATCCCTGTGCAGCTCTGTTGCAGCATATTCCTCTGTGCCATAGTGCTCCATTGTCCAAAAAGCTATTAAAAACACATCAGTGAGCCACATTGTTGAAGTGGGTAATGTGTTACTTCATCACCGTGATCAGTGGCACTGTAGCTTATTCTGCTGCTGTGAATATGAACTGTTGATGTTTATTGTTCCTCAGCAGAAAATAGCCCCCTACAAATGCTCTATTTACTCCTGTTAGTAACTTATTGCTTAAAACTGCAGTGTCCAGCCGCTTCAGAGAAGTACTGAGCCCTTTTTTAGGTTAAACTAAATATTTGTTGGCAAGTCCCAAGTGTTTTGTATTTTTATATTTTTTTATTACACATTCCTACAGACAAATAGGATTGGTGCTGAGTGCCACAGTGAGACCGATCTACCTATAGGTGGTCTTTTAATGGGATTTGTTGAACTAGTTCCTGGCTTAACCTTTGTTGTAATTGGTGTGTTTTGTAATTATAATTTAAAGGATATCTAATTAAACGTATACTGTTCAAACCTCCGACACTGATGCAGGTACAGAATTTTAATCTTGTCATCTTGTAAAGTATACTGCAATGCAAATTCTGACCATTAAATTTCAGTATTTGTAAACTATAAAACTTTTAAAATGTGCAAGATACAAACACACACACACACACACACACACACACAGAGGCTACTAACATTTAAAACTTGGAGCATGGTGTGATGGATTAAAGATGCAGCAGTGATGCCTGACGGATGAATGATTTGTTTATAACATTGTGAAGATAGATAGTGCAATATAAGGAAGTATTGGGAATGTTTACACAAGTAGTTCTGCTCAGCTGCTCTCTTTTCAGTTAGTACCATCAGACAATTAAGATGCACATGTACATTTCAGTATTTTCAAAGATATTCAGTCTTACTGTGACATTTCAAATTAATGTTGATTATAATTTTAAAAGACTATAGACATTATTCAGACTTGTACCGAGTCCTTAACTACATTCTACTAAGAATAAATTCACTGAAACATATTTGCAGTTACTTCAAACAGCCTTCTTGAAGACTTGCTTGGCAACGATGCCTTGAACTCTCATCTCCTGCAGAGAGGGAAAGACCACATGGGGAGAAGGAGGGGGGGTGTAAATGAATAGTAAGACAGCGTATCACTTATTTTACTCTCCTTTGATGTGACACACAAACCTGGGATTGTATCCAAAATACAATCCCCACCCCCACCCTCTCTTTGACCCTGTAATCCGTCTCCCATTCAATCACCATCCACTTATCTCCTCCTTTGACCCCACTCCCTCCTCCTGCTCCCCCTCATCCTCCTCACTCTTCATTATGCTCTCGCTTGTCCCCTCTCCTGCTTTGTGTAACCTTTAAAAATCCACCATTTTAGAGCCTAATCCTCGCTGGCATTTCTTTCCCAATTCTCTCCTAAACATAAAACAACACAATGCTTTGTCCCAGCTGCAACACAGTTATTAGGAATCCTGCGATAGCTATTTAGTGAGACACTAGCGATTGTTTGAAATCTTAATCACCATTGACAGATTATCTGTAAGCTTCAACTCTTTCACAACCAGAACGAGAAGAAACACTCCTCTGTCTTGGTTCTGAGTTATTGTAGCACTTTATAAAGAGACATGCATTCAAGAGTCTTTTGCCTCTTTTGTGTTTGCCTTCCTTCGTAGGCTCCTACTTCCCCCCCCCCCTCAGGCATGTACCAAGCCCTACAAACCTTTTTCTTCCCACAAAGAGAGAAGCAGTGTAGGAAATGATGACATCCAAACCCTGTATTATTTACATATTTAGCATATCAATTTGATCTTTTCCCTTTAGTTTCCTCATTTCTTTTCCCCCCCTTTCTCTCCATCCTTACCAAATGCAGCTTGTCACCCTCCAGCCAGTGTGTCCAGCCTCGTCCTTCCTTCTCGCCTCGCTGTACACAAATCAGGTTGTCTCCCTCCCAGCTCACTGTAGTCTGCATGAAGACAGACATGTTGTGTTACTCCGTGCAGTTAGTATGTAAAGCAGCTCACAAGGGTGGCCATGAGTTCAAAACCTTTTTTTTTTTTCTTGTCTTTTGCTTCTGTTTTCTATCTTTTTTGTTATTTTTGTACAGTGTAAGATAGTGCTGCTAATTCCGATTCCTTTCGGCAGAGATTCCAAAATATAAACACACAAAGAAAAAAAACTTGTATTATAAGTTATGATACTGTATATCTATTATATCGGGATGCCCGTCTACATGTCCAAACAAATCCATGTTTATATTCAGATTAACAACACACCTGACAAGTACGACCGTCCACTGGTCCCAAGTCTTCGGTGAATTCTTCTCCGATAGTAAAATCCATCATGAAGTTCTTGAAGGTGGTGAGAGTGCGGATCTTCATGGTCCCTGTGGCCGGTTCATGGGCGATCTCCTTTGAGGGCCTCAACAAACACACAATCTTCCTCAGGGCAAAATTAATATCTGAGAGAAGATGATTAATAATAGGATTAATATAACATGAGCTATACGTTATTGTTCCTTTATTAAAAGGGGAGCTTTGTCTTGTCACAGAGTGGATACAACCCTATGAGTGTGTGTGTGTGTGTGTGTGTGTGTGTGTGTGTGTGTGTGTGTGTGGGAGGAGGGGGGTCTGGGGTCATGAAAAGGACAAGGTGGGGATTTAATTTCACTAATGTGCAGCTGCAAATGAAGATGATCCACATTACGAAATCATTGATTCAAACGATTTAGTCAAAGCATCAAATCAATAAAAGTACTCAAGTATCAAAATAAAGGTGCAACAAAAGTCTGAACGTGGGGTTGAATAAATAAACAGGATTTGTTTTAGGTTGTTACAGCTGTGTAAAAACTGTCAAGAGTCTTACCTAAAGCTGCGAGGTAGGAGTCCATGTTTTCCTGCTCCACCATATAAAACGTGCCGGAATAATTAGGTTTAGACATTTTGTTCTCTCCAAAATCCAGACGAGCAGAAATGTCGACTTTTCCTCCTCCTTTCTTTCACTTGTCTTTTCTTCTCGAGTCAAGTCTGCACCCCAGAGCAGATCTGCTGACGCCTTGTTTTGATATCAGTTGCACTTACGCAACGTCTCTGGACAATGCCTGGCTTTTTGACGCGTAAAATGAGACCCTTGCGCAGTTTTTCTGTCTTCAGTGAACGTCCTCTCGGGTGGAGACTTGCGCAGGACTTAAGAAATCGTTTGCAGTCCGCTGTGACACACTGAGGCTGGTGTTCCTGCTGGACCACATTCAGGGGGAGGTTCATCCATGTAACGCTTTACTCAGAGGGATCAGTTCAGAGGCGGTGCTTCGGATCCTTAAAACATGTGGTGGGTGGGGTGAGGATGTACTGAGCGAGCATGTTACAGACTTGAGTGTGTACTTGTATTTGGAGCTGACCAGTATGTTTACAGTCCTAGTGGGATTATCTCACACACTGAGGTTTACTAAAAGTACATAAGTAAAAGTACAGATCATGTAGACCATTTCAGCATAATGTATCAAGTAAATGTTGTGGAGTAGAAAGTACTATGTTTTTTTTTTTACCTCTGATTTGTTGTGGACTGGAGCGAAAGTACCTCAAAAACTGTAACAGTCAAAACTGTACTTAAGTACAGTACTTGAGTAAATGTACTTAGTTACTTACCACCACTGGGTTATGTCCAGAGAAGAGGCAAAGTTCTATTTCAGATTTAGGGACACACACGTGATGCCTAAAAATACTGCACTACCCAATTTCCCAGTACTGTATGGTTAAAGGTCCATTCTCTATTTTTTTGGCTCGATAAACAACAGGCTACTCCAAAAATGTAATGTATGAGTTTGATATATAGATGAGCATTTTTATGTTGATTTTAACATATTTGCCTCCACATACAGTAACTGATGAAATATATTCATATTCATATATGCCCAGCAGCAGATGGAGTTCCCCAAAATCCATTTTTGTAAAGAACAGAAGATGACAGTAAAAGTAAATCAAATCAAATATCTGTCTGTGATATCAGTGAAATGCCGGAAGAAGAGCTAAAAGCATTTTACTTCTCTAAACGACAAATTATAAATATACATCTGCTCTTGATGCACTTCTGGTTTCTTTCAATCGCATCTAAATATAAAAATAATTTAAAAAAATAATTTGATTAACCTAAAGTGATGAAATATTTACACCCCACAAATACTATGTGTTTGTTCAAATAACTGAAATGTAAAGAAAGACAATTACAGAACAAAGTGTTCACACATGTTCTGACTTTATTCTCAACAAACGCTTTAACCAAGAATTCATGTGACACATCAGATGTGAACCGGTTATCTTGTCTCTAATTTCACGCATTTTATTTTGTCTCCACTAAAATACAAACTCTTTAACAAAAGAGTGCCTGCATAAATATAACAACATGAAGTACTTTGATAAAAACTTTCTTCTATCTTTTCCTCACGGAGCCACTTTTCTTCTCTGACTTTGACTTCTTCACATCTTTTTTTCCTTTTGACAGATTCTCGTAAACGTCCTCCTTGGTTCTGGAAATAATCAAAGAAAAAACGGGGAAGTGATTGCTTCAGACTCAATCCGGTATATTTTTATAAACCAGCCAACATTGATTGGACACAGCTTTGTTAGACGTGAATGGAAGATGCTTGAGAGGTTAATGAACAGAGATTGCTGCATTAGAACTATCTAAACAGACCAAACCAACCATGAATCAATCACTCAAAGCTGGCAGCCAACTGTTCAGAGCTCCAAGTGGGTCAAAGTTTACCGTGTTCTGGGCTGAATTGCTCAGTGTTGTGTGCTATTTTCTTTCTTCCCTAATTGGTTAATTAGAACAGAACTCAGTTCATAGTGGTGTCTGGCCTTAGAGGTCACAAAAAACACTCATATCTTGTTTACTTCTGTTGTCCATTAAAGGGGCACGCCACCATTTTTACACTTGAGGTTCAGTTAACTCGTCATTAGGAGTTAAACCAGTTGTATAATGTTTTCTGTTGCTCTGGAGGGGACTTTCTAAAGTTTGAACAAATAACATGATTGCATATGTTTCAAGTTGCACTATGGGAATTGTAGGATCCAGCCTGCTTTGGAACTTGAGGCATACAGACTAAAATTCAGAATATCTTTGCAGCCGTTGCTTCAATTTTGATCTTGTGAATCATTCACCTTCATGGAAGTGCAGTTCTCGTCCAATAGTACTGCTTTAATGCCCACAAAGAAGTAATGATAACGCTGTGGTTAAACATTCAGGGCTTCACCAAACTTTCACGGCAATCCATCCAATAGTTGTTGAGACATTTCAGTCTGCACCAACGTGGAGGACTGAATTACCGCTGCTTTGCTGGCTCCTTGTTAAGAGCATGGTACTGGTACATACTGGTACTTTGGTGCACTGTGGAAAAAGGCTCTATAGTTTATACATGAATCAGCTTTTAAACCAGGATTAATTTCCCAGCTTCGTTTCTTGTCGTTACTTTCAGTATTCCAGAGATTAAAGCTAGACAACAAACAGGGATTTTTTTTTAAGGAAAAATAATATTTTAAAACTGAATAATTCATCGGCAATGCAGTCCCTAGGATAAAAAACAATGAAACCGAGGTGGCAACTATGCATCCTCCCTCCACCCACAACTCCTTCCCTCTTCAGGATTAGACTCTCTGCTGACATAAGGCTGAAGACGGCGTTTTTGAAAGGAAAGTTGGCTGGCAGTGTGAGATTTAGAGGAGCAGTGAAAATGTATTACCGACATCCAATTCTCACACACGCTTTTTTTTCTCTCTTTTTCATAGACAGACACACGCTCACTCACTTTGAGGCCTTCCTGCTCACTGGTGGGTGTTTAAGGTTCAGATTTCCATACTCCGTCTCGGTTTCCTGGGGAAGAGAGAGATATTCCCGATATGACTTGAGGATTATTTAAAAACAGAGATTAGAGGTCATGCAACTGTTGTTTTATGTTGTTGCAGTTGATTGTTTTCTGTCTCTGGGTCAACGTCCATCTTTCACAAGCCACTCTCTGATAACATATCATTCTGCTGGCATTGACCTAGTCGGCTGTGGTGTTCAAATCAGCAGTCAAAAGTGCAAAGGCCTATTGACATACAGTACATAGGCCTTTGCCTATATCAATCTATATTTCACCCACAAGAAAAGACTAATTCCTTTATCTTCTTGGATTGTTCCTGCCCTTTTGCTCACCATGGAGGCACAGTCTTTGGCCTTGGTGGTCTGTATGTACTCAGATACAGCCAGGTAGATGAACTTGTACTGTGCTTCTGTCTGCACCATCCCAGAGCGCTGCTCTCGCACCATCTGGATGTATTTCGGGATGTCAAGATCACAGTCCTGACCTACAGTGTGAGATATGAAAGCATTGTATGGAGGCAGTATAAAAAAAGGAAAATAAACAGTGCATTTCAAATGTTTTTTTTTTTTTTTTTACTAAATACATATCTAGAGAGCTGATTTCATTCATTTATAATAATAATAAAAAAAAGTTACCTATCGTGTCAATGGTCTGAATTATCATGTCGACCACAACGATCGTGCCTGTTCGACCAATTCCAGCACTGCAGGAATTCACAGAAGAAACAAAAGTTATTCTTTCCATCAATCAAACAACGCTGAACATCATTACCTCGACGAACAAAACTAAAAGTCTGCAGCCATGCCAGCTGCTCTGTGAGGCTGTACTGCATGCTACATATACGCTTGCATGCTAAAATGACAATGCTAACATGTTGATGTTTAGCAGTTTGTAATGTTTACCATGTTCACCATCTTAGTTTAGCATTTGAACATGCTAATATTTGATATTTAGCACAAAATACAGCTGAGCCTGATGGGATTTAAGGGTCGTGTTGTGTTAAAAGAAAGTATGGGACATCTTATTCCTGCTGTGCAGCTTTGTGAACATGCTTGCATACCAAAATACTTACACAAGAGTCATATAATCATTTAAACAACAAGTTTTAAAATAGTACAAGCAGCCTCAGTATCAGCCACATCACACGGGGAAAATTCCATAAGGATAAACTGTCAGTTGACTCAAAACCTGTTCAGCTGTTCAGCTCTTAATCCTAAACACATAATCATTTTAATCATAAAAACCTCTGAGTGTTATCACCCAACTTAAGACAAACTTAGTGCTGTCGTGTTTTTCACAACATTACACCAGAACAGATGTCTTCCACTTTTAAAGTTTGGGTATTTACGTTCTTCCTGACACATAGTGTGACCCGGCAAAACCTCCATCTGGGAAACACATGGCGCTGTCCTGCAAAACCCTCAAATCTCCAAATGCATCATTACGTCTTACAAACGGACCAGTTTAACTGTGTGGGGTTGCGAGGTAAACAAATGAATTAGTGAAAATGATTATTAGTTACAGCCTTGTTATTGCAATCTATGCTGCAATGAATCATCCACCTCCAGAGTTTTGCTTTGATGCAGGTTTCTACTTTGGTAACAACGTCTCAACAATGAGCACCATGAGGCGTTCGGCTCTCCAGCTGTCTATAGTACCTGCAGTGGATGATCATTGGTCCAGCATTAGGATAGTCATTCTGTTTAGAGTTCACTTGACTGAGGAAGCTCAGGACACCACCTGGCTCCAGTGGGACGCCGTGGTCAGGCCAGATCATGTACTGGTAGTGCCAGATGGTACGAGAATTACTTGGCTGGGAACGAGACAAAATGATGAGATTAAGATGATAAAATCCTTTATATTAGCGTAGCACACATATACAGCGATGAGTGAGTGCAGTGAGGTCAGAGGTTGGTGTTTAGAGGTTACCTCGTCCACAGGAGCGATCTCCAAAACTCGGATTTTGTAGTCAGTAGCTTCTCTCTCTGAATTACAGGTCACCACGTACGGACCCACCTCCTTGGAGCACTCATGGGCGGGCCAGTATGGCACACATTTATTCTGCACAAAAATAAACAATAAATCAAGTAAATTCTAACTTTATCTGCAAGAAAACTTTGCAGCTTTTTTTCAAGTTCAAATTTTCTTTTATTTGACCTTTGGATTTGAATCTCTCGCACTTAAAAGTATATCATTTTTTTCATATCTCAGGAACGTTTTGTATATTAATATAATCACTAAGTTCACCAGAGTCAATTCCTTTTTCATGCTTTCAGTAATTTCAAGAAGAAAGAAGCACACACTTAAAGACTTTTCACGCTTTCTGTTTTGAAACTGACCCGCCCTTTCTCGACCTCTCTTGTTGTCATCACGATCACCCTCGTGTTCTCCTGCCACACCATCTGCCAGAAATCGTTGACAGTTGTTGCCAG